CACCACCGCCGCCGCCTCCTAGTCTGCCTCGGGGCCGCCACGCCGAGTCGCGGATACGCCGGGGCCCTGCCGGGCTTGGGCGCCTTGCGGGCCTCGGGGCTCCTCCGCCCGGCCCTCCCGAGGAGATGCTACAGCGAGGTGCGGCTTTTCGTGTGTCCTCCCCCTCTCCTCTTTCGTTCGCGGGGCCGCGGTGTGTGTGTGTGTGTTTCTTCTTGATCTTTCTCGCCCCACTCCGGGAGATTCGGTTTTCCCCCTTCACCTCTCACGCCACTCGTGTGTATGTGTGTGTCTGTGGGTGGGTGGGGGATTAGGGTTCTTTTTTCGCCCACACGGCTGCCTTTGGAGGGCGAGGAAAGCTTGGCTTTCCTATGAAGGACACGGGAAGGTCCCTACGCACGTGTGCATCAGCACTTCCCTCCCGAACACGTGCGCCGCGCAGCAGCAGCCCTGCGGGGGTTTCCCCCTTGAGCTTCACGACGGCCCCACGAGGTGGGCTAGGACGGGGTTTGTGTGTGTGTGTGTGTGTGTGTGAGAGAGAGAGAGAGAGAGAGAGAGAGAGAGAGAGAGAGAGAGAGAGAGAGAGAGAGAGAGAGAGAGAGAGAGAGAGAGAGAGAGAGAGAGAGAGACTCCCAAGGTCACCTCCTTAATTGTCACGTCTGAGTCCAGGGACTGACTTCTTGCGATCCACAAAAGCCTTGAGGATTGGTTTGTTTTCGGTTCCCCCCCCCTTTATTTATTTAAATTTTTTTGCATATTGTCATTCCTCCCCATCCACCCCCGTGCAAAAACAGTGTGGAATGAGGCTCCTGAGGGTGTTAATAGACTCTGAAGCTCTTCCTTTGGGCCAGGAAGTCCCCAGAAACAGGATGATTCCCTCCGTTTTGCCTGACTGATGGTGCCCTTTTCCAGCAACACGTGGGGCTGCTTGCTGCCCAGGGCCCTTCCAAGAACTGGCTCAAAAAAACTGCCCTTGGGAACTATCCTGTTTCGGCGAAAATAAGACAGGAAAATAAGACAGGATTAATTTTTGCTCCAAAAATCGCGTTAGGGCTTATTTTCGGGGACGCTTTATTTTTTTTCATGTATAATTTACAGTAATGTCATCTTCGGGTTGCTGCACAATGGTGATGGGGGGAGTTCACTTAACTAGGGCTTATTTTCGGGGTAGGGCTTATATTACGAGCATCCTGAAAAATCATACTAGGGCTTATTTTCAGGTTTGGTCTTATTTTCAGGGAAAATGAGGGGGAATGCATCTTTGTACTATTTTGAAGCCGCCTAGAGTGGACGAGTCGCCCAGATAGGCGTGGTAGAAATCAATCAATCAAACAAACAAACATTTTGAAAGTTCATTACCAGTGGTAATAATTGTCAGCTTTTGATAATAGTAATAATAATAATAATAATAATAATAATAATAATAATAATAATAATAATAATAATAATAATAATAATAATAATAATAATAATAATTTGAAGGTAGCCCTGCAGCCTCTCACTCTCCCCCCAAGTTTAAGAGAAATTGGACATTGCACAGCATGGGGAGGTTTTAAGTGTAAAAAAAGGTCCATTTTTGTTAATAAGGAAAATGTGGGAGAGGGGGCTCACCTGTGGGAGCAGCAGGCGCATCCTTCCAAGCTGAGCAAATGCAAAAGGGGTAACCCTTACACCTCTTGCATTTGCTCAGCCTTGAAATAGAATCCCACGAGGTCATCAGGTTCAACTGCTCTAGCTCTTTGCATTCAACATGTTTCCTCTGAATTTTTGCTCTGTTTTATACATACTGTCTCAAATTCTAGCCACGGTAGGCTCATTGAATCAGTGGGGATTTGAAGAGTCAGCTTCTCTGCAAGTCCCATTGATTTAATGGGTCTCTTACTACTGGATTTTAGCCACTGTGCACCAGCTACTTCTGTGGGTTATTTTGAACACCGTTTCCAAAGAGACTCAGTATGGTTGCCTGTGATGGAATTTATCCTGTAACTGAAAAGCAGATGCTGTAATACTATTATTGTTGTACAAATCCAAAATTCAAAGTCTTTCTTTATGCTATGAAAATATTGTGGGTCCGTCATATTGCATTGCACTGCTAAGTGAATGTAATTAAAATAGACAACTTTTATCATAAGCTTTTGTTTTAGTGCTCAGAATTTCATGCCACTTTGGAATGGGCATGGACAAACTTGCAGCCCCCGAGGGACATTTTTGTGGTTCCTAGGCTTGGGTTTTAAAAAAAAGAAAATGGGAAGTTGAAAAAAACCTCTTTCTGAAGACCTAAAGGCCTTGTGCTGGTTTTGGCATTGGAGTGGGGGGGAGTGTCTCCTGAGGCCTATCCAAGACAAGAAGCCTACTATTTGTGTCTTCTCTCCAGGTGAGCCCAATTTAGGTGTTGGTAAGGTCTGCATCCTGCAAGTGGGCCTGCCAAAAAAGAGATTTATGGTTAAAAAAAAAATCAAAATGCATATTCCTATCTGCTGCTTATTCCAGCACATTTACAATTCTGAAACAATATTCCATTTCAGGATAACTTTGTTTTCCTTGAAGACTATGAAGATCCTTCCACTAAGTCAGACAAGGACGATGGGGTCTATCTTATTCGTGCCGAAGGTCTACCTTACTCCTGTACTGAGGAGGATGTTCTCAACTTCTTTGCAGGTAACATAATTCTTCTGACTGGCTTATATGGTGGGATGGCTAAGAGGCCAGTTAAACACGATGCTGTAGCTACTGGGGCTTGTGATCAGGGTTGCCATAATGGCATGTAGGGAGAGGAAGAAGAAGAAAAAATCCCTGGCAGTACAGGTAAGCTTCTTCAGAACGGTTTTCATTTGGGCTACGGTGTAAAGAAGTAAATTCTTTCTCCCCACCGGTTGCACTACTAGTCCTTAGCAGTTGTAGGAGGAAAATGCAAGTCATATTGAACCATGGGTTTAATACAGACACAGATAGCTTGTGGCCCTCCAGCTGTTGTTGAATTGTAATTTGTATGGCTCTAGCCAGCATAGCCGGGGGTGGAAGATCATGGGAAGTGCAAGCCACCAACTAGAGGGACACATGTTTTCCACTTATGATTTAGTGTGTCTGTATTGCATATAGAGATGGGCACAAACTGTCTGTTTGGCGGTTCACCCCAGTTTATTTACGGCCACAATAGGGGTTTCAGCAGTTTGGCACCCCATCCCCTCTATCGAATGTCCAGTCAGAAGTGGTATCCCAGCTTCCTTGCCCCGCCTCCTCCAGGCACTGAACTGCCAAACGCCTATGATGGTAAACAAACTGGGATGAACTGGATTGCGCCCATCTGAAATTGCATACCTACGTAGATGAGTATCTGTGGAAATATATTTATTACTGTATAGCTGTTCTATTATTTTTTAGCACAGGAAATGACTGTTTCCAGGGTCCCATAATTCTTTACACTCAGGTATTTGTTAAAATAATTAATAGTTTTCATGTGTATTACTAGATGCAGGAGGCTTATAAATAACTCAGCATACTTTGGAAGAGTGCGTTTATAAGCAGTAGGTGCTTAAAGGTAAAGGTAAAGGTTCCCCTTGACAATCTTTTTTGTCTAGTCGTGTTCGACTGAGTCGGTGCTCATCCCCGTTTCCAAGCCATACAGCCAGGGTTTTGTCCGAAGACAATCTTCCGTGGTCACATGGCCAGTGCGACTTATACACGGAACGCTGTTACCTTCCCACCGAGGTGGTCCCTATTTATCTACTCGCATTTGCATGCTTTCGAGCCGCTAGGTTGGCGGGAGCTGGGACAAGCGACGGGAGCTCACTCCGTCGCGTGGATTCGATCTTATGACTGCTTGGTCTTCTGACCCTGCAGCACAGGCTTCTGCGGTTTAGCCCGCAGCGCCACCATGTCCTTACAAATAGGTGCTTACAAATATATAAATTTATAAATATATACATTTATTTATATAAATAAATGTGTTGGAGTGCAAATCTGCTAAATTCTCATTTCTGAAACTGGGTAGAATTATGTTTTTAGTCATTCAGGCCAGCAGAGGAGCCTCTCAGCTACTTAAAGTCTCCAGGATAGAATTGAGGCTGTGGGCTTATGTAAAGAGCTGCTTTATAAGTCGTTGAATGTAATACACTGTAGTCTTCTGTGTTGTGTTTCATTGCATACCACTACACAAACAGCAAGTTATTATGCAGGATTGCGTTGTACATTAATTCATTGTGTTGTTTATCACTATTTACCACAAAATGTTTTATGTCACAGTTTGTATGTATTACATTAATGTCTATGCAGAAGCACCTTTGCATAGGCTTTTTTCTTATTTAACTATTTTCATGAGTAATTTTGATTTTAAAAATTCTCATCAGTAAACAACAAGTAGAAAATAAAATCAAAACAATGCTATATTGAAGCCTTAAGGAAAGTAGTGAACACCAGGAGAAAAAAACAAAATTACTGCTCTTGCAAAGTTTGTTGAGATGAATAATGTGTTCAGTAGACATGAAAAATTTGGGAGGATATGTGCCTCAATATACTGGAAGAGGAAGCTTCATGGCACAGTGGTTAAATTGCAGTACTGTAGTCAAAGCTCTGCTCGTCACCTGTGTTTGATCCTAACAGATTCAGGTAGCTGGCTCGAGGTTGATCGAACCTTCCATCCTTTTAAGGTTGGTAAATGGAGCATCTAGTTTGCTGAGAGGAGAGGGGCAATGTGTAGGCTTCACAATTAAATTGTAAATTACCCAGAAAATGCTTTAAGTGCTGTGGGGCAGTATATAAGCAGCACACTTGCTTTTCCTTAAGATCGTTATACATAGTAAGCCATACAATACAGTGGACCCTCGACTTACGGAATTAATTCCTGTTGGAATGGTGGCTGCAGGTCGAAATATCTGTAGGTCAAGGCTCCATTGATCGAAAAATCTGTAGGTCAAGGCTCCATTGATTGCAAGGCATTGAAAACCGATTAATCCGTAACCGGCCGTTTTTGTTCTATTTTGGTTTTTTTCCCGGCCTGTAGGTCGAGGCTCCTCCGTAACCGGCCGTTTTTGTTCTATTTTGGGGTTTTTCCCGGCCTGTAGGTCGAGGCTCCAGCTATAAGTCGAACCTAAATTTTGCGGCCAGAGAAGTCTGTAACTCGAAAAGTCTGTAAGTCGAGGGTCCACTGTACTGATGCTCCAGTTTTGAACCATCACATACTAGGCTGCCAATATTTTATTAAATGTATTTTGAGTCAAGCTACGTTGAGGTGAGGAGCGAATGAGAATCTTGGGCAGAGGAAGACACTACCAGCTGTAGGTTTTGGTTTATGTTTTGTTGAAATAAAATGTTACAAAATGTAATGTCCTGTTGTAGGTAAACTGCAGTGTTTTGATTAAAAAGGAAGGTGGCTAACATTTCCATGCATGTATGCTCGGTACCATTTTAGGCTGCAAGATTCGGAATGGTGTTCAGGGTATACATTTCATCTACAATAAAAATGGAAAACCTAGAGGAGATGCTTTGATTGAATTGGAGTCACACCAGGATGTTCAGGAGGCCTTAGACAAAGATCGGCAATACTTGGGCGAGCGCTATGTGAAAGGTATTGTGTTCTTACACTGACCTCTGGGATTTGATTCAACAGCCCCTACAGTTACAGTTATAATTTATGATAATACAAAAGGGTGTTTGTTTCCATCCTAGCTCAAAAACAATAAAATCTGAAATTGTCAAGGATACTAGGTGAACCCTAGGGGGACATAAACAATTTTGTTTTTGAAATAGACTAATAAGTCTTAATTAAAATGGATATGTAAGTTGCAATATCATGTGTCTCACTTGTGATTTTTTGTTTTGAAGTTTTTGAAATACGTAACGAAGATGTTGCTGCCCTCATGAAGAACCTGAATCTCACATCAACACCTACTACCAATGATGGAGTTGTACGACTGAGAGGACTTCCCTACAGTTGCACGGAAGAGGATGTTTCTGAGTTCTTCTCAGGTGACTTTGTAGTTATTTTGTCACCTGGTGATTGTGACCAAAGAGTGGGTAGGGATGAGATAATTGAAAATAAATGCAACAACTTTCATCAGGAGAATGGAGGTTAAGTTGGGGTTTTTTTTGAGGGAAATGCTATTTTAGGCTGCATTAATAGAAGTATAGTTTCCAAATCCTGCCAGGTGCTAGTCCCCCTCTTTTCAGCACTGGTTAGGACTCACCTTGAGTACTGTGTCCAGTTCTGGACACCACACTTCACGAAGGATGCTGACAAATTGGAGCAAGTTCAGAGGAGGGTGACAAGGAGGATCAGGGGGCCGAAAACCAAGCCCTTGGAGGAAAGACTTGGTCAAGAATTGAGAAAAGAGGACAGGGTGATACAATAACACTTTTCAAATACTTGAAAGGCTGTCATACAGAAGAGGGGCCTCAGATGAAGATGAGTGGGCGATGAGAAAACAGTGTTTCTGTGAACAATGTCTTTCCTTGTTTATTGTTGACAGACTGAACTAACAGTAATTCAGAAAACAAAATCGGCTAGCATTCTCTAGTTATACCATGGGTCAATCTGACGAGGTCCAACATTGGATGTGCCACCTGGAGATTATGGGAGTTGGAGTCCAACATAATAAAAGGACAGCAGGTTAGGGAAAGCTCTCTAACGGTTCAGTAGTGGTGCCATTTTGTTACAGAGAGAAAGGATGGAAATAAGTGGCTACATTTATGTGCGAGGATGGCTATATTTTAAGGCTGCTTTTGTTAACTTTGTGTTATGTATGCTATGTACATAAGTTGTTTCTGTTACAAAAATGGGCAAAGTGGGGCTGGCTGCTACCAGGCTGTGTGTACCTCTCCATGCTAAAATGTTTTCTCTCACAGGTTTGACTATTCTCGACATTGTGTTTGTCATGGACCAGAAGGGGAAGTGGAGAACGGGAGAGGCGTATGTGCAGTTTGCTACTCCTGAAATGGCTAACCAAGCCTTGTTGAAACACAGGGAGGAAATTGGGAACCGGTAGGTGAAAGTTAGGACACAAGTTTGCTGGATCATTTATGGGAGACGACTGATGTGTGTTCCCTTCATTGCTTTCATGACTCTTGTCATTTTTAAAGGAGATGAAAATTACAACTGACGAAAAATGGTATCATCGAATAGCATTGGCTAGTGTGATAAAAATGCTAACATTGTGTGTGCTTGCTACAAAAAAGGCTAATTCTACATTAAGCATAGTTAGAACAGATTTGTAAGAACCCTGCTTTTATACACACACACACACACAGACACAGACAGACAGAGTGGTGCCTCGCATAGTGATTGCTCCATATAGCGATGAAATCGCTTTGCGATGGACTTTTTGCCATCGCAAGAGCGATCGCTTTGCGATGGCCCCTATGGAAAGCGATCATCGCAAAGCCCCCATTTTCGGCCAGCTGATCGGCAGTTCCAAAATGGCCGCTGGGTAAACAAAATGGCAGCCCGCTGTTTTGCCTCGCTTTAGAGGCACTGAAAATGGCCGCCACAATGGAGGATTTTCGCATAAGGTTAATTTTTAAGCCCATAGGAACGCGTTAAGCACATTTTAATGCATTTCTATGGGCTTTTAAAAATCGCTTAGCAATGAAATCGCTTAGCAGCGATTTGTGCTGCACCGATTTACATCGCTAAGTGAGGCACCACTCTGTGTGTGTGTGTGTGTGTGTGTGTGTACGATCTAGCACTATTTGCATATGTGTATATCTGTCTTCCACTTGAAAAGGATACACTAGAGCTAGAAAAGGTACAGAGAAGGGCAACCAAAGCAGAAGGATCTGGTGCAGCTACATTATGAGGAAGGGTTAGAACGTTTGAGAGTATTCAGGTCTGAAAAGAGTTTTTTTCCTTACTCTAAAAAAGTCAAAATATTGAATATGTTGCTTTTAGATCAAGCCAAATGCTGTGCTAAACTACAGGTAGCACAAATCATGGTTTCTGTTTCTAGCTTTTTGGATGTTTGTAGTCTGTGGCTCATAAAGCCAAAAGATAGCATTTTGTGGGATGTCTGAATTGAGTTTAGGTATATCTCATTAAGAGTTGGTGAGATAAGCACTTAATGACTTTATTTTTATTTTAAATAACACTTTTTTTTAGCTACATAGAAATATTCCCATCTGGAAAGAGGGCAATTCAAACACACAAGGGCTCTCTTCAGTTTAATACGATGACGAGTTATTCTATTCCAAAACAAGGTTCTGAATCTGATTTCGAAGAAAGTAAATTGAATGAGGCTTTAAAACCAGTTGCAGCATATAAAAATGATAACAAAAATGGTAAGTGCACTTACAAAATTCAAGCATTTCTGTCTGACATCATTCTCTTCTACATATAAGGGAGAAGCAGAAAAATACAATTGACAAATTACAGCTCTTGTCTTTTTTTACCATGCAGAAATTGTTAAACAAAGGGTTGAAAAGCCTTCTGATATGTTGGAATCTGGGAGTTGCTCATCGCATCATGTTGTTCACTTGAGAGGTCTTCCGTTTCAAGCAACAGCCCAAGATATTATAAATGTAAGTATGGGTCAAATTTTGATTCTCCTGAACAATATTCTAATAATGGGCCCAAGTTACAAGGAGCAGGAAGCCAGATTTCAGTTGAATATCAGGAAAAATTTCCCAGCTGTTAGACCAGTAGGACAATGAAACCAATGCAGGAGGTGGTGAGCACTCCCAAAGCTTTTTCAAGAGAAAATTGGACAACAATCTGTCAGATCTGCTTTGATTTAGATTCCTGCATTGAGCAAGGGGGTTGGGCCTGATAGGTTGATCCTGCATTGAGCAAGGGGGTTGGGCCTGAAAGGTTGATAGGCCCCTTCCAGCTCAGTTACTCTGTGATTCTGTTATCAGTTCACCATGCTGAATTGAAAACAACTTCTGAACTGAGATCTTCAAAAGCAGCCTTCAGTATTGCACAGTGGATTTGTGCCTTTAAAGGAAACAAAAAGCAATAAACAAACCAGCTTAGCTGTAGATCTAGTCAGTACTTGTGTGTATCTGAAATAGGTTTTTGCGTTTCTACCAGTGTTAAATCTTCAATCTGCAAAATGAATTTAATTAATTGAGCAGTATTTAGTTTTGCCTATTGTATCTTGGGCAGCTGACTGATACTTCCAAAAACAATTATTGGCTGTTTTAAATACAAACCAACAACGCTTTAGTTGTTGCTTCTCCTTTTTTTCAGACGTTGAGTGAGCCATAACTAACTTCCCACTTCCTTTTTCTGTTAAGTTTTTTGCCCCCCTGAAACCATTGAGGATCATGATGGAATACAATTCAAGTGGAAAAGCGACAGGAGAAGCAGACGTACGCTTTGAGACACACGAAGACGCAGTTGCAGCCATGGCCAAGAACAGGCGTCCTATGGGTAAGCAAGGGCTTTTGGTTTTTCCCAGAGACAGCCAGTATAACCTCAGTGGTGCTCAGAGGCACAAGGAAAGGCAGAGCAAGAGATGGTCTAACGTGTGTATTCATATACTTTTAATGTACATAGCCATGAAAGGAAGAATGAGAAGGCAGTCCTGTGCCTTGGTACCTCATGCCAGATCTGCACTTCCCAAACTTTGGTGCTAACATCTGGTAGATGGAGTTTGAGATATTCTTCCAGCCCTGATTGAAAAGTACATTTTAAATTTATTGGAAGAATCACATACCGTTGTAGTCTTTAAGGCTGCAAGCCTTGTATTGGCCATACATTTTGTCCCTCCACATGTGCCTCAGTGTAAAACTAAGATGATGAAGATTCAGTTGCACAAACCGCAGAGGACACCCAAGAAATTTTTTGTGATAGGGCCACACACAGATCACAGTCTTGAAGGTTAAGATCGAGGATTGCTCTTCCAGACATCTCAGTTGCAAGGTATGGTCCTCGTGGGTGAGTGGATGCCCAAGCCATCTCTGCATAACAGTCCCCCAAACTCTTCATTCCAGGTATTGAAACATGAATATATGATCTCTGTTAATCATACCACAACATCTAACTTGTGCCGTTCTGAAGTACTGAACGAAGACTAGGCAGTGGGGTGCCTACCTCACAGCTAATTATCATCTTTGCTTTCAGAGCCTATTAAATTTTTAGTAAATTGTTTACTAGACCCCGGATTGTGGGTCTTTCTAATGACACGTTAGGTATTTTTATGTCACGACAGTATGCACTAGGATAGGTCCAGTCATCCCTGAAAGATGATATAACCAGGACTTTTGTAAGCAATAAAAGTCCAAAGAAACTTCACATTTGTGATGGGATTACTTTGGGCAGTTCTGTGTTTTAAATGGAGTTCCTAGATAAACTAAGGTCAGCAATTGGGTGAAGCAGTTTTGTACAGTATATAAGGTCATAATGTATAGAGTGAGAGATATTACATATTATAATATTATTCAAATTACATTGTCACGTATGATATTGGTAAAGTCTGTAATATTCTTTTCTTACTCTGTAGAAATCAGATATATTGAATTATTCCTGAATTCATCACCAAGCAAAAAAAAGGTTGCAAGTGACGAGATCATTCCCGAAGTTTAGGTGAGTGCTGCCATGAACTTAACTTTTTAGAGGACTATAGTTTTGGAGATTGTTGGATTTATCCCACAGTTTAATAATCTGTGGCAGTGGGTGCAAGAGCCCCTCCCCATTTGAATAGGAGAGTTAACATACTAAACTGTGTACATTTTCAACATAGTGTATAATGCAGAAATGTGGAAAAAAAGGCGGTACAACTGCCACATCAGACCACAGTTCTGCCTAGTGTAACACTATTTCCTACTGTGCTCAATCAGATGCCTCTAGCAAAGCAAAAAAGCATGCTGCTTATATACCGCCCCATAGCACTGGGCGGTTTACAAGTTAATTATGCAGGCTACGCATCTAGGATGTCCACATGGAAAAGACTGGCAATGCCCTTTTCTTGCTGCTTCCTACTAATGGGTATCTGGAGGAGATGCTGCTTCTGGTTCTCCACTAGCAGTCAATGGTAGCTCTACCCTCCATGGGTGTGATCCATACCGGCCATTTTTAGGCTCACAACATTTTGGCTCAAGCTGAACAAATCCTCCTTTCACGAGGCAATACTCTTTTTAATGAAACAATGGCATTTAAAGCCCTTAAATGCAATGAAGTGCCTAGCAATAATGAAAGAAGGTGAGTGTTTGGGGTTCTGTGCCTGTTGACAAAACATATTTCGATGCTGCTTTCTGGAGCTGGTCGCGTTGGGAGAGTTTGCCCATGCTTCTGTTATGACTATTGTGAACCTGCCACACGCTGAGAACAAAGTTATTTTTTTATCATCAACATTACTACTTTTTAAATTTCTGATGCATAATTTTCTTTTTAGCTTTCTTGTTTGGGATGTTATTTTATATTCAGATTAACAGCAATCCAGTTATAAAATTGGGTGTGGTTGGAGTGCTGTGACATTTCATAAGACCCACTGTGCTCCTTTTTAACTAGACAAAAGGAAAGGCATTTACTGCTTTTTTGCTTCTGTGTTTAGTCGTTTAGTTGTGTCCGACTCTTTGTGACCCCATGGACCAGAGCACGCCAGGCCCTCCTATCTTCCACTGCCTCCTGGAGTTGTGTCAAACTTTTTTGCTTCTAATTTTGCTTAAAACACAGTTTCTGTCCCATTGTTCTCAATGAAAGAGAAATCTTTAGGCCAGCTCTGAGGGTGATCTAAATCTCCCTTCTCTTTGACGGAGATGATGCAGGAGTGCAAAGTCTTTGGATACAGTGTGCTCCAGAGCTTCCCTCACGAACAAGGTCTCCTATTCTGGCTCTCCAAAAGAAAAAAAAACAGCTGCCAATTTATGAAGGAAGGGATGGGCATTTCCAAGACCAGATTGCCCCCAGTGCAGTTAGAAACAATATTGTGAGTTCAGAGAGGAATTCTGCTCTTTTGTATCCCCTGTGATTGCTGCCTTAGTGGAACTTCACTTGTACTGGTTCAGTTAAAAACTATTCTAAGATGTGAGAAACTTAGTCTGAATCCAGGTCACTGTCTGTTTATTATATACATGTCTAGAAGCCTTGGGATAGGGTGGGCTACAAAACAGCCAACCAAATTTGGAACGTTGCTGAGAAATCTTGCATTCCACTGTGTGTACGCTCTGCTAAAAGAACCAATATTCCACATCAGAAGTGGGATTTTGTGATGTGTATATAGTAAGCCAATTTGCTTGTGTGGTTTGTATAAACTGGCTCATTTTGGGTCCCTTGGTGCAAGGAACTAAGATCTTTGCCAGACTTTCCTCTTAGCCTTTCAAACCTGTATTTGTTAGTATTGGGACACAAAGGGAAGCTTCAGATTCTGAGGAAAGTTGATGTTTTGAGTGTGAATTAGTGCACTGAACTTTGCTTCTATTATGTCAGATTTGAAAGCTAAAGAAAAAAGGGCTGCGACAGGAGAATATGTTCTTACTCATTAATCCCTGTTTCTCTCTCTCCCTTCCAGCAGACTAAATCAAGATGCATCTCATTTGTACATTTTCCTAAAGCCTGCGATGTAGCCAGCAAGGACATATTCTAAAAAGACTCTGCCCTCCCCGGCTCCAAATTGCCTTTTAAAGGAAATCCAGCATCTGTATCTGAATCCCTGCTCTATTTGTGCAGAATCTATTTAATGTAAAACAGAAATTAAAGTTGCACTGTCCTTAAGCATCTTGCTACAGTACATGTTACATGGTAGAGTGAGGGCTGATTGTGATGGAAACATTGTGTATGATAATTTTTTAATTAAAGGATTAATTTGGTGGGAACCAAGTCAGAGGGAATCCTTGTGACTCAGTGTCATGCTCTTTGCTCATGTTTGAAGGAATGACATGGGAATGGCATGGAGGTGAGGGGCTGCTGTACTTCCTGCTGGTTTGATGGCTGCCAATCTCATAATTCACCATGAGGGGTTTGCTGTTGAAATATGGAGCCTTTAATTCTGAAAATCCCATCCTTGGCAAACATAGAACGCAGATTGTCATTTCTCAACATGACTGGTGCAGATAAGGCTAACACTGCTTGACAACAACTGAGACAAGGGATGTGGGGCAGTCCTAATTCATCAGGGTTGGAAGAGGAAGAGGGCATGCTTCTGTAGCCTGCTGCTGACTATTTAACATGATAAAACAGTGGATAGTTACCTCTGCATCAACTTTTTTGCATGGAAAATACCAGCCATGGTTTTAAGCCAGCAGTTTGTGACAAGAACTCTTGTGTTGAATAGAACATGGAAGCTTACACAGTATATCCAGTAGATATGACTGATGTGTAATAAATGGAAGTTCCACAGAGAAGCTATTGTTCCCCAGAAGGAACTTTTTGAGTCTACTTGAACTATGAGTATTTAATTCAGATATTAATAATAGCCTGGTGTGTAATAAATAACAGCTTCTTCCTGAATTAGTTTCATGTAGGGATATTTCTGAACAAGGTATAGAAGAGTATTTTGTTGGTGCCTCCAGAAAATGCTAGTGAGCTGGGTTGTGGGACTTTTCTTAGATATGAGGATCCGTAGTCAGGCACCAGGTGCCTTGTGCGAGCAGGAGCTACCTGGGGGTAGAATGAAACAACTGAATATAAATGGGTGTGTTGTCAATCACTACACGACTCTTCAACTTTTCATATGCATAGCTGATTCTCAGATAAATCTGAAGTACAGGGATTGTTACCACCTGCACAGAAAAATAAAAAAGTTAGTGCCTACACTTCAGTTCTTGGCATAAGCTGACAGGCCAGATGAGTGATCAAGTTTGCTGAATACTCTTGACCCCTTTCCGGAATTTATTTTTCAGGCCCTTACATATGCAGCCTGATTTTAGTAGCATCCTCCTATATGACAAAAGACAGCCAACTTTCAATTTTTCTAGTTAGCAAGGGCCAGCGTCTTTCATGGGAAGACCTGCTGGGAGTTACATTTAAGGCCTCAGTTACTACTGCCATATACTGTGACAAGTATGTGTTAAGCGCTGCTTATTAGTTTTAACTGTCCAATCATCAAAGCTGATGTAAATAAATGGGGGGAATCTTAATTCAGATCTTTCAGGGTCCTTTATCCTGTTTTGACAGTTGTTTTAAGGCATGTCTCGAAGGTAGCACAAATCCTTTAAGATGCATGGGGATCACACTTCTGTTCCAATTGACAATATAGAAACTATACATAGGTACACGGTAAGTGGTTTCCTGCATCTTTCTCTTTAGAACATAAAAATATAGGTACACAGTGATCTTGAGTATGAATGCCTGGCTTCCAAACCAGCACTAAAGAAGGAAGTGCTAGCTCTGTAGTGCATTAAAGAATTTCAGTATGGTTCATTTTTAGATTATGTACAAAGTAGATAAAGTGTTCAGGAGGGCTGTACAGAATTAAATACTTTCTGTAGTCTTTGTTTGATTGCCAACAGAAGTAGGCTGCTTTTCAAAGAACATGTTGATAGCAGGTTATTTGTCCAGATGAAAATTAAACATTTTGTAACTGTACAATGATCACCTTTATATATCAAGATACATTCTACAGCACACTGTAAAGCATCAAAGTGTATAAATACTGCACAACCTTTCATCCTGAATTTACATGAATAGAAATCTTGTCAACACATTCCTATTACTCATATTTGCATCCTGAATTAACAGCTCTGGAATGTCAAATAGCTAGGATTCAAGTTCTAGTTTTCGGTAATGAGATATCAGCAGTCAGCTGCTGCCCCTGCAGGCAATCTGTGGAAGCAGATGTTGGAAAACTCCATTAGGAAATACAAGAAGACCACTACAGATGTCCTTCAGCTTGACTACTAACATTCATCCAACTCTAAACAAAAATGAAAGCAGTTTAGTTCATTTTATAACTCATGTATTCTCACTCTCAAAGGTACTGTGAAGATTTAAGAGAACTTTGATTTAAGCAGCATATATAAAAGCAGACCCTCAATGGCCACTAAAAAAAAAGGGGGGGAGTGAATTCGGTTGTGGTGTTTCCCTATTTGAGCCATAAACTTTTATGTTCACTCATCACCTAATTTTGTCTTGGAAATTCCTGGGGGGCCAATTTAGGTGTTATATTTCTGTATCCCCCCCTACTCCAATGTTTAGATCAGGATAGGCAACTTGTGGCTCTCCAGATGCTGAAGGACGACAACTGCACCAGCCAGTGTAACCAATGATGATGGAATATGGTGGTTGCAGCCCAACCACATCTGAATGGCCACAAATTGCCTGCCCTATTCTGGACCATGAAGTAGATGGAGCCAACTGCATTGGTTCCTCTGGAGAGTTTTGTAATTAAAGGCAAGGACTCATTATAGATTGCACAACTGTATCGGAAAAGCAAGGTACATTCACATAGCTCACACCCAGCGATGAGGTGGGAAAAGTCTCAGTGGCTCTGCCCTACACCGC